GACAGCCACTAAGCAAGCATGGCTAGCAACCACTGAAAATTAAATTAAAATTAAGTGTAACTGAAAAATGAGTTCCTCAGACACCCATACCACAGCCTAAGAGCACTACATGCAACTGGTGGCCATACACTAACTGCAGTCAAGAACATTTCCGTCATCACAGAATCGTACTGACAACACTGCAGTACTATGTGTACTTCAAGTTTCTTTTTCCTTTTACATATCGTGTTAACGAAGGACCCAGAATATCCACTCTTTACTTGAGTTCCCTAAGTGCTAGGAAATAAACACAGAGTGGATTCATCCACAGTTTTAATATGGGGACATTAGAGCTCTTACCTCCAAAAGGGCAAGCGCAAATATAAATGTATGGCCAGGTAGTCCAAGCTGATCTAAGATTTGAGACACACATCAAGCTTGGCAGATTCACAAGACAAGCAAACTAGAGCACACAAGCTGTCAGGGACAATGGCCTGGTAACAGCAGAAACTGAATATGTAAGATGGAAGGAAACAACTATGACAATCCTTTCATGAATTATTTGAGGTCTATGTCGTATTTCTTAGAAATCCTTCAATGATAATCATGCAGAGGAAAATCTTGTCTGCAAACACCAGAGAAAAGTTCTCAGAGGTGGGCAAGTTCTATCAAAATGTTTATCTGGGCAGAGAGCTTTTGGCTCCAGTTGTCTTTGTTCTGTTGATCCTCACAAATACCAGCAAGGGTTGACAGCTAAAATGAAAGACCAAGTATATTACATTTTGATTTGTCTGCTAAAATATAAAATCTGTTCCAAAGATTATGACAATTACTGATGAATATAGCTAAGCAATATTCATTGCTAAGCAAATACTGATAAATACAGCTAAGTCATTTTGTTTGCTAAGCAGAAGACTCCCTAACACTTTTTAATTTATCTGATAAGCAACCAGAATTATCCAGCAAAAATGGGTCTTTTAGGTCATACAATCACCTTGCATTTTTTCTTGAGGCACAACTAGAAGTACACATCTGTTTCAAAGACATAAAGCCAACTCTCAAGAGGCAAATTTTTGGAGAACACCCAAAATTATGGGACTTGAGAATGAGTTCTGCAGTGCATCAGATTAACTGACTGAAGTGTGAATACAGCATCTGGCTCAGAAGTGAATGTTTTCACGAGTTCCAAGTCTAGCTAGATCTTTCAACTACTATAGCATAGAGCTCTCTCCCTCCTTTGAAGCCATCACACTCACAGTCAGCTTTCGTCACCTGACACTTAATCAAGTACTCTATCACATACCATCCCTTGTGTTGTCTTGTACAGTCCTTTAACTCTTTGCTGTGCATATACATCTTCAACTGCACTGTAAGCGCTAGGATTATATATTATAGTCCTTTCATTTATTTTAGCACCCAGTAGATAGCTCTGTACAATTATTTAGTGAAGGGAGACATAAAGACAAAGCCTACAAAAAAGGCGAGAAATCGTAATTACTAGACAGAAAACTACCTAGATTTATTTATCTGATTCCAAAATTAGGCTGGAATTGCTAATAGGCATTTCTTCTGGCAAACAAACAAAAGGCACAAAACCTCAGCATTATGCAACAATCTGTGTAGCAAGGAAGTCTCAAATACATTCATTTTATCACATCTGACCTCAAAATGAAACTGTGAAGCAATAAACAAATGTTTATATCTTAAATTAAAATCCTGTGTATTTAGAATATACATATTCATTTCGGTACTAAGAAATAGTAACTTCAGCAACAAAGTCTAAGAGTTAGAATTCGATTTCAATATTTTCATACATTAGTACTTTCACTGTATAGCTAAGATGGCTGCAGCAGAAGGTAAGTGGCATGCTTTAAGATTATTCCAAAAGGCGGTCAGGGCAGAAATTGAAATGAGACTGCTTGGTAGGTCAGAACAATGCAGTGAAGGCTGCTCCATCAACGTGTACAAACTATCTGAGTAAGTGTGGAAAAGCTGACGTCATTATAGGTTTCTTCCCTTCTTTCAAACTTAGAAGAAATTACTTACTAAGTTTTCAGCAATGAATTCTGACAGGCACTTCAAATGCATTAGAACAGAAATACAGTTGGCTCACATGGTGTTCCTCCCTGAGCCTCTGGTAGTTTACATTTACATTACATCAGTCTATACAAGAAGTTCCTCCAAGTCCACATCTAACTGCACTACTTTCTTTCTGGTTTGTAAAATCAAAAGCAATCTAAACCTAATGGATTACTGGCTTTTTTCTTTCTTTCTTTCTTTCTTTCTTTCTTTTTTTTTTGCAGTTCTTATCAACACAATAAAGGGAAAGAGATTTCTGAATTGCTTTTTCCAAAGCTGCATTTGTGAAGCTGGGGTCTAAATATTTGCTTTCATGGGATTGAGCTTCTCTGAGAATTTTTCCAAAGATTTATTTTATTTATTTATGCATACAGGAGCTGGCATGTAGGCCAGATGTGTGGGGGGTGAGATATATCTGAGACAGAGTTGGGAGCAGAATAGGTGGACTGACTGAAATAGACTGCTGAGAAGAGCAGCAGGTGAGACAGGCAAGGTCTGCTGCGCCATGTGGGTCAGCTCCCTGGCTGGGAATCGAACTAGTGCTGCAGTGGCTGGTGATAAATAACTTCATAGTATTGAGACGTACCCCCTTGTGACGCCAAGAAGGCCCCTCTCTGAGAATTTTTTAAAGTTGTGTTTTTATTTTCATAAGCATAATCTGAATTGCTTGTACATCCATCTCATAACTGCCAGGACATGGTTCCAACAACCACATTTGCTTCTAGGCTTAACTTACATTTAAAGTCTCCTAAAGTGACAAAGAGTAGTTTTCAATGTGGTATTTTTCAAACGGGGGTCTATGTCTTTGCGTTTAAATTTTGAGTAACATCGCTCTAGATTAGTATACTTTGAAAAATTCTCTTGTCTGTTGTTTACCTTGGAGACTGTGAGAGTCATGTACCCAGTACCCACTATGTGCTGCACTGGACATACAGTAGTGACTAGAAGCCACCAGAACTTGTCACTCTGGCAGGAAAATACCAACACTGTTAATGAAGTCTTTGGTTCCTTCAGGGAAATCACACAGGGAACAGAGCACTTAATGGGAAAAAAAGTTACCTGCCCTCCCTGCCAACTGCTACTGTAAACCAGAGAACCTATCAGCATCCAAATATCCTTAGAACATCCTAAGACCCTGAGGTCAATTTGGAGAAAGGTAAAATAGTCCTCTTTTTAAAATTCTTCAGAAAAGCTCCATCTCCCTTCCTTGCTTTGCATTATCATTCTCATAACTGGACAAAGATGCAACCCATGTTGATAGTTCTGATCATTTCAGAAATACTTTTTTGGATTTATATTCTGTGAGATTTTCACAGCACAACACTTTTTCCTTGGATTGGTAAATTTCTATGGACAAAACACCAGTCAAGTTAAAACAGTTACTAAAGTCTCAGGTGTACATTTAAACTCAAGAAAAGTTAATGGACAGATGCACAGCAAAACTTCTCCCTCCGATTTTAACGGTAACGATCTTAAATAGTGCAATGAGTGCACACCAGAGATCAGTATCTATTACAAACTACTACTTTAATTGTCGATAAGATACTATTTCAATGACATCCTTACTTAAAGGAAAAAAAGGCAGCATAAGAAGACCCAAAGGTACATACTATCAAGTGAACCACTTTAATTCTGTTATTAATAAATAAGTGGGTACCAAATTACTTGACCAATAGTTAATAGGTCTGAAATATCTTAAGTTTCTGGACCAAATTCTCTATGGAACAACGTCTCTGGATGAACCCCACTCGAATCAAGGGCTCTAGAACTTTGGAGCAATCGCCTCCTCTAGGGTAGTTACGATCTTTCTTACTGGGTTTCCACTCCCTTCCCCGAGGAGTTCAGAAAAAACGTGTCCATCCTTATGAGAAAAGAGAAGCGCACAGACAACATGACTACCACCAAGAAGGAGTTCAGTGAAAGCCGGGAGAAAGAAGCCTCTGTGAATCTTTTAGCGGACTCTGGGATGAAGAAACTGGCTTAACTAAAAAATAACGCTAACAACTCTTCATCTGCCAATAATACAAATCTGAATGCCAGCCTGGATGGAGTCAGCAGAAACAGCAATGAAAATCCGGCTGCTAGTAACATTTCTGGCCCAAATGAAACCTCTGCATTTAAACATTCAGATCCACAAGGACAGCCAGATGCACACTGAGCTCTTTACCTGCCACCACACATCCAGCACCATAACTAAAGCAGGGTAAAACTGCCTTTCTTGAAGGAGCTTCCTCTGAAACACACCAGGGCCTCAAGCCAATCTAACTCTGCGGGCAGCCACACTCCAGATTCCGGACCAACTCTCAGTCAGGCTAACTTTAATCGTGCCCCCAACTTCAAGAGAGCAGGCACTGTCTGGCCATCAAGCCTTTCCACTTCGCCAAAGCATCAATGTCTCACTCGTCCTTCGGAGCTCAAGTTAGCAGCAAGGCGACTGACACAAAGGCCCGTCGTCCGAAGGCGCTTTTTTCCTACGGCACCGCCACTGCCACTCACTGAAAATTCCTCGACTGGGGGCTCACCGCTCCCCTTTCTACCCTTCCTCAATGCCGTCCCGCCGGCAAGCCCAGGCCTGAAAGCCCCTCAGCCGTGAACAAAGCGAGGGGCCCCGGCGGTGGGGGCGAGAAGCGCCAGAGGCCCCGGGCTGCCACACCAGGCACAATGAGAACTACCAACTTCAGAGCGCAGGAATATCCTCAATTGGCAAGAAAGAGGGGCGGCGGCAGGCACGCCCAACTTCAAACTCAGGAAACCTACGGGCTGGCGGCCATCTGGAAAAAAGCCCCCTTCCCGGGGAGAGAAGAAAAAAGCGGAGGAGATGCGAGTCGCCCACCGGGCCCCGGAGGGGAGCCCTGCGCTCAGACCGGCCCCCGCCCCCGAGGCCCGCTTCCCCGCCTTCTCTCTGCCTCAGGTTCGCGGCCCCAGGCCGGGCGGCCGGTTACCTTGATGCGCTCCCGGCATTGGGACGGGGTCCGCTCGTAGCCCAGCTCGGCCAGGGCCCGGGACACGCGCTCGTACATGGCTGGCCCGGGGGCCTTGCTGCCGAACACCGTGCCGGCTCCCTCCAGCTGCTGGTACCGCGCCTCCACCAGCCGCTCGTTGCCCCACACTGCGATGAGCGCGTTCGTCTCGGCCGGCGTCCACGACATGCCCCGGCAGGCGGCGGCGGCGGCTGCCGCAGCCCCGCCACCGCCGCCACCAGGGGAGAAGGAGACCGAGGACGAGGCGGCGCTGCGGCCCCCCAGCCCCAGCCCGAGACCCCCAGACGCCGCTGCCCCCGAGCCCGCGGCGCTGCCCGGCCCGAGCGGGGAGGCACCCCGAGGCGTGGAAGGGTCAGACAGCGATGGATTTCCGTCGCTCAGGCCACCAGGAGACGCCGGGGAGAGCACCTCCATCTTCGGGATTTTTAGCGGCGAGTTGGCGGGCAGCTCCGAGCCACAGGGCGCAGCCATCTTCCAAGCGGCCGCCGCTGC